TTTTGTGTGGATTCGTTGAAACATGTGGAAAAGAAAATATATCCAGTAGATAATTATTTACAGAGAAATGAGTAATTCTTTGATAACCCTATGAACATAATAAATTGGAATAGTTGAATGTACAGGATCCATGATATATATGATAAACATATTTTATAAAGTATCAATGAATGATTAATCCATGCAGGGATCCGCTGTATATCTGATTCAAATTTGGTAGATTTCTTAATAATTATGTTATTTGTTTGGTGAAACATTCATGCTCATGACTTCTAAACTAGTGACTACAGTACTGAATTCCATGGATTATCTGCGCAACCTTTCACCCTAATATCTATTTTATACGATGAAAAAAAAAAATGATATCTATGAAAATATATTTTGAAACTATTTTTATCATTATTGGTTGATTTTTATAATAATCTATATATTTGAACGTGCTTCGATGCGTTATTATTATCATCATTTCTCCAACTGATGATTCATCATAGTAGGTAGGCCTTCCCCTATAGAACCAACCAATCAATTGAAAACAAAGTCCTAACAATGTATACTAATATATATGAAATTACACTCAAGGTTCAAGTCAATGATCATTTACATAAGCGAGTTTGTCAAAATGTCTGCTATTTAATTTTATTACTAGTGAGCAATATTCGAATATGAAATTTGCTTAAAAGTTCCCGTTCTACTTTCTTCATTAATCGAAAACAAAATCGTGGAAAGTAGTTTCTTAATTGGAAAATGAGAAGATTGATCGAATCAACAAAAAATTACTCATACGTTACCTACCTACTTGTATACATTTCCTATTTATGCGAAATTATAAAAAATTGTTCGATAGGTTTCCATTAGATCCAAAATCCGTTATAAACCCTTCAAAGTAAATTTATACGGTCAATGCAATCGTTCCTGCATCAACTGTATGCATGTCAGATGCTAGATGGCAGAGTTACAGTGTAAACATAGTCGAAGTCGAAATTTCTTGTTGTGCAAGTTGTGTGCGTTATACCCGCTTGGAAGTCGTCTCATATGGGCATCGCGAACTCGTCTGCTTCGATAGTGTCCATGTGGAATGAGGGGATAGAGAGATAGAGTGTGCACTTTGATGAAGTCGATGTATCTTCATCTGCGTAATGTACTCACAATATACCCTCCAAAGTCGTCTCATGTCACTACGATCATATCTGCATCAACTGTATGCATGTCAGATGCTAGACTGCAGAGTTACAGTGTAAATATAGTCAAAGTCGAAGATTCTTGTTCTGCAAGCTGTTCGCGTTATACCTGCTTGAAAGTCGTCTCATATGTTCATTGCGAACTTGTTTGCTTCAATGGTATCCATGTGAGATGATGAAATAGAGAGATATAGTGCGCACAACGATGAAGTCGATGTACCTTAATTTGCATATTGTACTCGTGATATACCCTTCAGAGTTATCTCATACGGTCACTGCTATCGTATCTGCTTCAATTGTATGCATGTCAGATGCTAGACTGCAGAGTTACAATGTAAAGAGAGTCGAAGTCGAAGATTCTTGTTCTGCAAACTGTGTGCGTTATACCCGCTCGGAAGTCGTCTCATATGGTCAATGCAAACTTGTCTGCTTCATTAGTGTCCATAACAGATGATAGGATAGAGATATAGTGTGTACGACGATGAAGTCGATGTATTCCCATTCACCTGTTGTACTCGTTATATACCCTCCAAAGACGTCTCATGCGGACACTGCCATCGTATCTGCTTCAACTTCATGCATGTCAGATGCTAGACTGCAGAGTTACAGTGTAAATATAGTCAAAACGGAGATTCTTGTTCTGCAAGCTGTATGCGTTATACCTGGTTGGAAGTCGTCTTATATGGTCAATGTGAACTTTTTTGCTTCAATAGTGTCCATGTGAGATGATAGGATAGACACTACACTGTTTTACCACTAACCAAACCGATTTTTTAACGCCTCGACACGTGTTTCGCTAACTATGTCAGCATCTTCAGGAGAAGATTAAAAACACGTGTCGAGGCGTTGAAAAGTCGATTTGGTTAGTGGTAAAACAGTGTAGTGTTTTATCGTGCCAAAGGTTCCAGTCTTCGATATATGATAGGATAGGGATATATAGTGTGTACGACAGGGAAGTCGATGTATCCCCATTTGCCTATTGTACTCGTTATATACCCTCCAACGTTGTCTCATACAGTCACTGTCATCGTATCTGCTTCAACTGTATGTATGTCAGATGTCATACTGCCGAGTTACAGTGTAAACATAGTCGAAGTTGAAGTTTCTCGTTCTGCAAGCTGTGTGCGTTATATCTGCATAAAAGTCGTCTCGTATGGTAATTGCAAACTTGTTTGCTTCAATAGTGTCCATGTGAGATGATAGGATTGATAGATATAGTGTGCACAACGATCAAGTCGATGTTACTTCATTTTTATATTGTACTCGTTATATACCCTTCAAAGTCGTCTCATACGGACACTGCCATCGTGTCTGCTTCAACTGTATATAAATATCAAACTTAATTAGCACAGTGCTCTTCATTACAGTTAAATCTACAATGAAATACAATAAGTAAATAAATGAAAACATAGAAATATAGAACTAAGACACAGACACATGAATTACGTCACATATTTTAATATAAGGGTAATTAACAGATTTCTTCTTTCTCAATTGATCAATCAATGATTTTCTTTCACGAATAACACACACGATTTTTCAAAACTATCTAGTGACACACATCTTTTCTTTTCACAGGGCAAATTATTGAACAATACCAGACCTTTTGTATATAAAGTATCACAGACAATATTTCCTGAATTTATAGAAATCATTCGCTGCTTGCTCCCTGGTATTGTGACAATGTACATCTTGAACATAATATAGCTCACTTGATAAATACAAAGCCATAATGTTATTTTTCAATTTATAAACAAAAATTAGTGTATTATATAAAACTCTTTGCTTGATATTCATTAATTGCAATGTGTTCAGCATTGTTGTGACTGGTGTGCGTCTTTTACAACCCAAGATAGCTCTCATTGCACGATTTTGGACTTTTTGCAGTGTATCAATCTGTTCGTTACTCAAGAAACTCAGTAAAGTACCACAATAATCAATATGAGGTGAAATTATTGACTTGTAAATTGTTAATTTCGTGAAATGAGATACTTCATCACCAAGCCTGTACATGAAACCTATTTTTCGCGCAATTTTCTTTTCAATGTATTCACAATGACTGTTGAAATTCAGTTGATTATCAATGATCACTCTCAAATACTTGAACATTTTCACTTCTTCAATGATTTCTCCGTTCATCAGAATATTGAATTTTATTTCATTTTCCTGGATCATTTTTGAATTTGCTTTCGAAGATATAATCATGAATTTCGTCTTTGTAACATCAATTTTGAGTCCATTGTCACAGATCCAGATGAATATATTCTCAAGATCTTCATTCAAGAATTTGTATGCATGTCAGATACTATATAGACTGCAGATTTATATAGTGAACATAGAAAAAGTCGAAGTTTTTTGTTCTGCATGCTGTGTGCGTTATACCTGCTTCAAAGTCGTCTTGTATGGTCAATGCGAACTTGTCTGCTTCAATAGTGTCCATGTGAGATGATGGGATAGAAATATTGTCAAGAAGTACAAATGTCTATTAAATAACTTTCGTTCATTTCTAGATCTTCATTCATGAATTAACTTTTCCAAATTAAACCATCTTGTACAACGTTTCGATCAGGTCAAAGCGGAGTTCATAGACTCTAGTTCCGGTAAAATTTGCATGAAACCGCTTAGCTTGCGACGCGGGCTAAGCTATACGCCCGGTATCTAGCATTGCCATTAGGAAAATTGCAATGTTAGCATCGATTCCAAATATAAATAGATTCGGAATCGATAAGCCATTCATTACTGATTTTTGATGATTATTGATCATCCATTTCTCAATTACTGATTTTTCATTATTATTGATTCATTATTACTGATTATTCTTTACTGATTACTGATTACTAATTCATTACTATTATAATGCATTTCGATAACACTCTACTTGATTCCGTAATTGAGTTACTTATTCGCGAGTTGCTGCCAAAATGTGTACCGTCTTCCCGACTTTGATCCTGCTGGTCAACCCCATGTTAGATGTCATAATGTAAGTACTGTTTTTCCTGTTCTATCTGATTTGTTTTTTCTGTGTTGTGTTCCGTTTGGTAATTTACTATGGTTTGTCTCAGCTACTCTGCCATGTGGAAAGCATTTATTCACGACAATTCCCATTAAATCAATAAATGTTAATTTCATACGAAAACTATCTTGACTCTTCATTTGGGGACGAATATGGTTGGGTGGTGAAATGATCAAAATCCTCTCATCAAGCCAAGCGAGTAGCCAAGTTGCGATCCATAGGAGGGCAACATCTGAGTTGCGACATGTGGTGGGCACGCCGTTTGCCAAATAATCTACCAAAACCATCTGAGTTGCGACACGTGGTGGAGGCGCCTTGCTCCTTCCCAGGCAGCAAGCTGACGTCATTTTGACGTGAATTTTTCGTCAGCCCGGACGTCATTTCGACCTAATGAATGACGTCATAATGACGGTAGGATGACGTGATTATGTCACAGCTCAAAGACGTCATTTTGTAACGTTATTTTGACGTGATATTTTGACGTCAACTGGACCATTGGGATGACGTCAGTTCGACGTTCAGAAGACGTCAATTCGACGATAAGTTGACGTGAATTCGACGTACTGTTCACGTCAATTCGACGTCAGGTGGACGTCATTATGACAACTTTTTTTCGTCATCTTAGACGCCTCATTGACCTAAAAGATGACGTTTTCATGAGAGAATGACAGATGTCTTTCAATATAAACACAATCACTGTATTCAAAAATGAAATACATCTGGCAGTTAACTTGACTTGAAGCACTAGTAATAATTCCTATGGTGACAGATTAGCGTAGTAGGAAAGGCCTGTAAATAAGAGCAAAATCAGAGGGAAAAAATAGCTTTACTTATCGAATGCATAAGTGTTGAAAATATATAGAAGTTATTCACATTTTTAATAAAAAGTATATCCTGAGATGAAAGAACACCATGACAAATGAAAACATATTCAAACTGAATGTAACATAGGGAATGAAACAAGAACTCCTGATATTGTGAGAATCATACATTTATGTGAAATATCTTTCATGTTCCAATTTTCTAAATCTTCTGATAAATTTTCTACAATGTAAATACCAAACGTTGTGGATTCTATAGGGTATGTATAAAAAGATTTATAACTTCTGAATCGTTTTCCGATTATAACTGTTTGACCAACATCTTGTTTCACTAAAATATTATGTATTTGAATAATAACATTATCACTTACTGAACAATACGAGTTGCCACTGCTATGAGAGTAAATACAATAAGTACATTCATTGAATAAAAATTTTTTGAACTGTTTGTAAATAGGACTATAAGGTCCAGTAGTATGTATGATACAATACTCAATTTTATTTTGGAATGAAATGTCAATATTGCCGAAGGATTTGATTTCATTAATCCTGCGAAAAATTTGTTGCAATGGTCTATTTGGTGTTTTGATCAACTTTTTCAGTGTACCTAAATAAGATTCGAAAACAAAAGCAGAAAAAGTGTCCAGAGGTCCAAAATGATCTGTATCTGCACTCAAGAGACACAATGTATGTACATTGTACACATAAAATTGTTCCCCATATATTTTCTTACAATGAATAACAAAAGTTGTTAACAGCTCATTTGCAAATTGTGAACCAATATTTTTCAGGTGGGTGTTTGATATGAGAATTAATATTCCACAATGCAACAAGAGAAAATGTTCATAAACTGCAAGAGAGACAAGATCTTTGAGAACAATAGGACCTGTATAGAGCAGAAAAGTTCTGAAATCAGTCGCTTTCCAGCGGGCTAGTTCAGACAGTTCTCTGGGTTTTCTGTTAATTTCAATAGGGATATATTCTCTCAGAGAAATTAAACGTTTTGATATGACATTAACTTCTTTACTACCTAATCTATTTGTTAAAGGGCCACTGACCCATGCATTCAACAATTTTTTCATCACACCAAGGCAAACAGAATGCATATAATCAATTGGAAAACACGATACTAACCCAATTTGCAAATCAACTAGAGGTGATAAACCCATATGGTGTTCTTCATCATCCTGTCTCAAAAATGAAGCATCTGTTCGCAGCATAGATGATGTTCCTTTTAGAATGACACGGTAAGCAACATATTCACCTTCTTTAACACATTTATCACATGACGAGTATCCTCCATGTGATTTCACAGATTTAATATAAGACCTGGCTGGTGCATCACATATAAAGCTATGAAATTGAATTGAATAATGTACGTCTCCAAAATAAAAACCTTCTTGTGATAGAAGTTTCAACTCTTTGATGAAGTCCTCTAGATATTTATCCAGAGGCTGGGGTTTGGATTCTCCACAAAATATTCCTACAACAAATGGACGGAATTCAACATGATGTACTATACGTCCTAAAATCGGCCAGAACTGAATATTGCTACTATGAAATAAAGGGATACCATCTATGTTGAAGCCCAATTTAATTTTATATTCTGGGAAAATGTTTGATGAAGGACAGAGTGATAAATAACTGAGTAAGTTATCAACAAGACCAAAATGGGTATATTCACCACTGTCTAATTGTTTGATGATTTGGTTAGTAGAATTTTTAAGTAAAGACCTACAGTCCAGTGGCAACTCAGGGTGATATGCAGCAAGAACGTGTAATAAGTCGGTGAAAGCCACTTGTGCTATCCTGTGATTGATTGACCACTGCAATAATTGGGTTTTCAAATCAGTAGAAATGTCCCTAGAATTATTATTTGTAAGTGATTGCCGAGAATTACAATTCAAATCAATGATATTCAAGTCACAATCAATGTCATTTGACTGACTATAGAACTCGTTATCTAAACTATTAGATGTTGATTCACATACAGGAGTATTTCTGGGAGATTTTAGATAATTTTTATCACTATCATAAATATCATTACTCACTGCCGAAGTACAAGTTGCTCTATTTTCTTTAATACTGAATGAACTTTCATTTGTGGAAGTTATCAAATTAGCAACTTCTACTTGTGCTCTCCGGTATATTTGTCTTTTGCCAATGATATTTGTCTTAGAACAATGCATTTCAAAAGTGAAAATGAAGAATGATAATGAAAAAGTAACTCAAAACAACTCAATTCAAGAAATATTCACTCTTCACAACCAGCTCTCAATGAGCATTTTTCTTCATCCAACGTTGTGGTGCATGCTTTAGCCAGACTTTGATTATTGCTTCTACTTGGGCATTGGACGCACTTTCAGTTTTTTTTTTACTGCTCCTGCATAAAAAAATCAACCTTTAATATTAAATACCTACTTCAGAGAAACAATTACTTACTTACTATACAATCACTCAAAGAAAGTTCACAAAATGGTCTTTTTTGTCTTTTTCCTCGAAAATTGAAGGATGTTGCCAGCTGGTCGGTAAGTGAATGTCTCAAAATATTGTTGGTTTTGGACGTACGATCTTTACCACCCAGAGTAGATAGGTAGGATACCTTAAAATAATGCAGAACATAAATAAACAACATAATGCCATGTGAAATAAAAATTGATATTCCTGAGAATAATTTGGCCAACCCATAAAATGGAAGTTGTTTATTTTATTGAATTCTTCCTCAAATTTCACTCACCATTCCAGACAAGTTTACATCAGATTTCAGGAAAATTTCCAGTTCTTCGATTTGTTCTATTTCTTTGAGAGGTATTTCTATTGGTAAATCATTCGGCAGTGTTCCTACTTCTGGAGGTTTTTTATTCAAATGATTCAGGATCTGCTCATTTTGTTCTTTAATGTGATAGAGCAAAGACAGTATATTGCGATCAAATCCTACAAATTGATATACAATTACTGTTGATAATGACATTGAAAGAACTTTTTTCAGTACTTCACTGATCACATGTCAATAGATTTTTCAATTCTACCATCCTATACCTAAATTTCAGCACTCCTGATTACTTTTGATATGTCATTCGGTTTGAAAAATATTTCTTTTGATTCAATTTGATGCAGTTTGATGAGAATGCTCATGATTCTGATGTAATTTGATGAAAAATGCACATGTGATGTAATTTGATGAAAATGTTCATAATGATGCCATTTGTAATCAATGAGTTTTTGAAGGTTTCTACTCCTTTTTTTGAAGAAAATATATAGTTTCAATAATAATTTTTCATATTCAACAAGACAATCTAATACTTATTCAATACCAAAAACAGGACCACCCTGAATTACAAAGTATGTGATGAAAATTATGACAAATACTAGAAGTAATTGAAAAAATAATGTTTCTATGGAGTAGAAACCTGCAAGAATTCAATGAAATTCAGGTAATAAATGATACAACTGAGAAATGTAATATCTTTAGTATACCTACACAATCTTAGAGCTCTATCTATCAAGGATATTGAAATATTCGAGATTTTCATTTAAAAAATGTGAATTTCAAGACCTTATCTCAATAACAAATTATTTTGGAGCATATGTTCATGGAAAGAAATGATATTATGTCATTGATTCCTATTGATCCCTGGATTATAAGTCATTTGAACTCAATCCTCAATCACCTTATATTATTTGATTACTATAGTGCATTGAACTGATAGAAGACAACTCTCAGTAGATTTCTTCCCAAATATAGGTTTTCAGTAATAACTATGCTTTAAAAATTGGAAGGGAAGTTCAATAACTATCAACTCACCTAGACTGTTGTTGATGTTAGTATTAGTTCCAAGATTTGTTCTAACTGGGGTAACTTGTATTGATCTGCCAAGAGTGTGGGTATCATTGTTAGTAGGAGTAGAGCTTAATAATCTGAACGACGATGTTGAGGTACTTGTGCCACTTGATAGGACTGAATCAGGATTACTAGGTTTACAGGAATTTTCTGGAAATCATTCATCATAAAAATCAACCATCAATGTCTATAAATGATACCTTAATGTTTCAAATTCAGATCCATTTCAGTTTAAAGATAAGGTATAATCAAGTATCTACCTAGCTGTTTATTTTCAGACGAAAATGATTGTTCAGGATATTATACAGGGTGTTTCAAAATTCAGTATCAATATTCTAGGGGCTCATTTCTCAGATCAAAATAAGGCTTTTTCGTCCATATATAAACATGTGTCCGTAAAAGAATTTCATTATCACAATCAAAACAAAAAACGCTACATATTCAGTTCATGATCATATTTACAAGTTTTCAAATATTACCTAAGGAAACTTGACTTTTCATCACAGGTGAAAAAAAATAAAAAAATCTTGAAAGTTTAACCCTCTGTATGTCAGTAGCGAAGCATTTAGGAATACATATTTATAGAAAAAAAGTATTATTTCGACCTGAAAAATAAGTCTTTGAAATCATGCTATGGAATTTTGAAACACCCTGTATTAATTCTATTCCTCCTCAAGAACTTATTGAAATCGTTTTTGAAAAGTTGTTGGTATATACCTTGGGCATTGTTTGTGACAATGTGATGAAAACGTGGTGGGCGCTCTGGTATTTTTTTAATTTTCCTCAATGGTTCATCATCTTCACTGCTACTGAAATTTTTTTTAGCCCTCAGTTTTCGTCTTCTAATTGAATCTATATCATCAGATTCCAAGTTGGATGTGTCTTCAGCTTCAATACACTTCTTTTTTGCTTTTTCGAAGTCATCTAAAAATAAAAATGGTATGTTTGATTCAATCGTTTCTGCTACATAGTTAGCTATATTACAATACCTATGTTGATACTGTATTTCAAAAAATTAAGTTGGGGTAGATTGATAACAAAACATCAGGTGGATAATAAACTAATATTTCCATGAAGAGTAGTTTGCTCAATGAAGGAAATTTTTATTTATTTCAATATTCAATATTAATGGCCCTTTAGTTCTCCAACTAATTTTCTATTGACAAAAACTGTATTTAGCACCATTTATTTTGATATTCATCAGACAAAGATTCTTATCATGAACAAAGTTGTGAAGGAAATGAGTTTGGAAATGGGCATCCAATGAGAAAACAATTAGGTAGCATTCAATTCACAGAAATTCTTTAGTAGAAATCATTCTCTAAGCACTTACCAGTTTCAAACATACAACGTTTCACTTCATGCAATTCCCAAGAGCCATTAATATGTGGATTTTGTTCTTTAATAATTTTATTGAAAACTTTCTGTTCCTTGCAAGGTGGTCAATAGGCCTCCTTTTTCATAGGTGTCAACCATGAACTGTTTATTACAGATACCCCACTATCCTTCCATTCAACAATGACAAAAGTAATCTTGGATCATCTATAGGTTCAAGAAGTTTCAACAGACTGGACTGTGTTCAGCAATCCAGTAAACTAACCTTAAAACCACATAAAAACATCATCAAACTGTCACCTACAGAATCGATTGAATGAATTTATTCTTATCATTGTTACCTCGATAACATGATGAGCGTGTATTTATAATGCACAATATACAATAATATTCAAAGTATGGTAATGGAGCCTCGCAAAGAACTCACCATTGAAAAAGCACCAAATGCTCAAACTTCCAGAGCACAGCTTATGGCATTGAGCTGCGCCCAAGCAATGATATTAATAGGTCCACAGCACAGATTGATCACATATACACTAAAAAATTCAATGGGAACAATTATTACACTGTCACAGGCCAACTTATTTTACCAACGCTTATCATTCACAACAAATCAGCAAATGGCGGATGGCTGTGGAACAGCGAAGACAGTAGTGAACTAGTGAAGACGACCGACCGAGGAGGTCCGAACCCCCGGTATCGCGTGTCGACTACACCCGAACGTCGCACTTGCGTTGGGAACTGGGCGCAAATTAAAATGCATTTGGCGGTAAATTCGAATTTGTTAGCAAGTCTACAACAGATAATTTTCGAATGAGTGCTTCGAGTTTGATGAAAAGTCTCATTATTATTAGCGTAAAACACATAAAACGAAATGTATAGATATAAAGTTGATCTTTCATAATGACGCAAAAATGTCGTCAATCTAACGTCATGAAAATGACGTTCAAAACACGTTGAAGAAATGACGTCATAAATCACGTCATTTTTTGCCAATATGACGTCGCGGACCAAAAATTACCAAAAAAATACGTCAAAATGACGTCAGCTTGCTGCCTGGGTTCCTACAGATTAACTCTCCATAGTTGATCTATTAAGTTCGTTCTGATTTGTGATCAATTTTCGTTATTCCAGTCAATGTTATGTTTTATAAAGCTATTACACCCATCCAACCACGATTCATTTCAAAAAAAGTTTTCGTAAATTCAATGATCTATTTCAATAATTACTTTTTCAATACTTGCTTTCAATTTACTTTCAACTCAACTTTTTTCATATTATCAGACCATAGATTCTCTTGAATTTTCTGAATAACTGATTTCCTTTTTTTATCCATTGATGCGTAACTTGAAAAGGCAAGATAATAATGATATAATTCATACTATCATGCACCATTGTTTCTAAAAATTCTGGGAAATTTTACTATTATGGTATAATAAGTGATTTAGAAAAGTATTCTCTGGTGATAATTTGTGTATTTCATTTCATTTCACGGGGTGTGATTCTACGAAGTTTCTGGGAAACATTGAATATTTTAATTTTGGTTTCAGATAAGTTGGTTATTTAAAGCAATTTTTTTAATTAAGTGGGGTATTTGAGAAACTCATTCGATTTTCATGAAGAGATACAGAGCGTTTAGTCTCAGCTATCCATTTATCAGTATAGGTGATATATCATATATGATTTTTTCAAATATCATATCATATTACGTTAAGATTTTTTTTTCAACCAAAATGGAGCACAACCCAATTTTTTTTTCTCTCGTTTTTATTGGTATATATATTTTAAGTTGTTTGCGCACTATCAACCCTTATTAACAGAGCATCCAAGTGTACCTAATTATTCAGATTTTTTTTACTCTTTTCAAAGATACAGGGCGTCCTTGACAATATTCAGTAATGAACATGCATAAATTCAACTTTTTATTTTCAAATTTGACATTTTATTTCATCTATTTTCTCTCACCACGTCACAATTCTTGAATTATGAATGATTCTGCCCAATACCTGTCTTACTTCAGCTTGGAAAGATATCATTGATATTGTATAATCGTAAAGAATACCTGTATCGCCAGTACCAGCTTCTGAGCGATTACCAATAACATATTTTGAGAATTGGGTACAATTAGAGCCACCCTGAATCAAACCCACTGATTTGTTAATGGTACATACATTCCAATACCTGTCTCGTCAGTATCAGCTTGGGGTTGTGTATCATAAATGAGTCAATGACTACCTAATTGGAGGATAACTGTCCACTTTCAGCTCACTCTGATTTGTAATCATACAGTTGGCACGATACTCAGTCATAGATTTTCTATCCACTTTCCCTGAAATTTCTTCGAATGGCTCGTAATAATCCAAGTCGTCGATAATATTTATTGACTAAGGCAAGAAAAATAAAACTAGACTTGGAAGAAACCCAAAAATCACGTTTATTTCAAACTTCCAAAACTGACAACTATACATTCTACGCCACTGAACAAATGCCAGTACGCCCTGTAAACCCCACAGTTCAACTGACCCGTGAAAATTTGGAATTTGGAAAAACAGGTTGAGAAATATCTGACAAACGTGTAGGCTCAGTAATTTTTATTTATTTTTGATTTTCAGAATTCGGATTCAATTCCGAACAATTTTTTGCAATCACTCATAATCTTGATAGAGTTTTTTCAAAATAGCGAGTTCTCAGTATTCCTTTAGTATTAGTATATTTTCAGAATTCAAGATAAGATTTTTTTTTGTTTGGGCAATGAATTAGTATCTTTAAGAATCATTTTTCCAGCTCGTAGGGAAAAGGGTCGTAGTATTACATATTTGCTAACATATATTCAACCAGTTGATATTATGTTAAGATGACATTTCAGTGAATGCTTTATTCAAAAAATCATTTTTTTTTTCGTTTAGGGCACAACACATAGGTAACATTAGGTTTTGATAACAATCTATGATATAATCGTACATTTGAAAATCATTTCAGGTGTTTTTTCAATACTTTTTTGCTTCAATAATGCTATTTACTGAAGTTCCTACAAAAAGTGCTTTCAATTCTAATTATTAAACTAAATACTTCATTTTGAATCATACCTACTTTTCAATACAAATACTTATTGAATATTTTGAAGGTAAAACATATAGGTATCTTCAGCTTTGTTTGATAAATACACAGGATGATAATTATGTATGATACCTACTCAAATCTTAATTTGATTCAACAACATTTTTAGAGATCTTCAGTTAGATAAACGTAGATATTTTTTATTCAGCCAACAAGAACAAAATCGAAGTCAATATTGATTGAAACATTATAGGTTTTTTTTCCATGATTCAACGAATAAGTGATAGTCCGTATCGTAATGTTTTTAGTAGGCATACCTCTACTTGCGATATTCAACTTTGCTGACAACAGTTTTGCTTTCTATGAGTCCATAGACCTTGCTTACTTTCAACTGAAAAGAAAAATAACAGGCGCTCATTTCTATGATGTGTGTAAGTAGTATTTGATAATGATACTAGATCTGGGATTTAATAATGACATCTCGATGAGCATAGGTAGTTTATTTGAACATTTATATTCATGCATACTCTCCTAGAGATTTCAATGATTTTTTCATACTGCTATATAATGGTTAGCCACCAGTCACTTAGACTATATAAGAATAATTTTGAAGAGTTCGTAATTTCAATAATTAGGCATGTACTCAAATATTGATAAATCATATTGGTCGAGTTGTTTTCAAGTGAAATTACTCTTTAGCTATCAAATTTTTTTTCTTAAGAATTGATAATTATCAACAAAGTGTTGATGAATACACAGGTTATTCAGTTGAGAAATTTTTGAATGAAACATTGATATAAACTTGAGATTGAAATATCTCCCGGCATTTTTTGAATGGTTTCTGAGTTTTTCTAAGTGTCAAATGCATTTTTTGAGTATATTTGTCTCATTTCTGCTCTTGTGTATACCTGATACATATATATTTTTTTAACATTTCGTACTACCAGAATATAACAAATGATATGCTCTCATTTTTATCGGGTTATTTGAGCTAGCTAGTTCTATAATCACGTGTGCTTGGCTACTAGACAAATAATTCAATAAATATTCGAAATTCCGTGAAGTTGAATATTGTTGATAGAATGAATAATGAGAATTGAAGAATTGTATTGATTATATATTGAGAGTTTCCCCATAGACGAGTAATTACACAAGCAGACGTGGCAGATGACCTAAAGTATAGGTTGAACGTCCACCCGTGTATAGTTTTGTCTATTAATGAGTTGATAATGATGAATAATGAGTATAATTGGTTGATTATAGTTTTGAAGAAGCGCGGTATATCAGAGATTGGTCGTGGAAGAATATCCTGATGACTGGATTGAACGACTGCCTCTGATTTGCGTTTTATTATGATATGAGATGAGATGATATGATATTAGATGATATATAATTTTTTGAGATGAATATGATATTATATGTTTATGAGATGAATTCGATTGATATTAGAGCATTGCGGTTTTTGTAGGAATGATCCGATGAAATCAGGTCCTATGAGATATTTGGGAAAAGTTGATATATGAGGAATACAGACAGATGAAAAAGTAATGAGCATGTTGTTTTTATTGAAGAGTGATAAGTAGAGATTTTTTTTTCTGGTGTACGTATTTTGGTAGTATTGTTGATATAAAGTTTTTTTCATGATTCTATAACAAATAAGACATTTTCAAGAGCAGAAAGTTTTATAAAAGTTATTTATACATATATCAAATGAAAAATAAAAACCGACGTTGATAATTCAATGTGAATGATGAAATGTTTTGTGCATGTGATGAATGGTACAGGTAGTATGAGAAAAAATAGAGGATTCGAGAAATAGAAGATCAAGAATAATTATTATACTAAGTTCAGCGCTGAAATGACTATTTTTCGAATCGCCTATGGATGATATATGACTGAATATAGAATTGAATGAGGTATGAAATGTCAAAAGAATGATAACATGAAGAATGAATGAATACTTGAATAGGAATCTTTGAAAAACTGAATGAAACAAAAATGTGCAAGTTATTTTGTGAAAGAGAACAAGATTTAGGAAATTTCAATTTGTATAATGAAGAACCGCATTATAATAATGACTTTTGTGTCAACTAACATCTGAATAACCTGTAAAATAATAAAATAAGCCATGAACAAAATCACAGAAGGAGTATTTTTCGCGAGGCACTAGCTAGAATTTGCTCACAATTCGGCATGCCAAAACCGAATTGCTTCTATATGGAATTTTTTCCGTATAAGGCATTTCTGTTGGTGTATTTCAGTTCGGAATGCTAAAACCAACTGAACTCGGATTAACACAATTTCTGTATCGAGTTCAATTCTTCAAAATTAACATTTTCTTTTACATATCCAGTATACTTATCTGTTGTAGAAAAAATAAATAAGAGTACCAATTATTTCAAAATAAAACTAAGAGATTTTCATTGTTTGATAATACTAATAATATTTTCCAAGAGGTACCTAACTATAGCCAAATCAGAATCGAGTAGTCAACCTATACGAAAATAACGTAACTAGTGGTAGGTGTATATAGGTACATTCAGAATCAATAAATTCATAAATTACAATGAAAATTATTGGCAACCATTGACAATGCAT